ACATGTACTTGCTGGAGAGACAGAGAGACAAAAAGTGAGAAATCAATCCCAAGAAGGGATGACCACACCACAATCCCTTCTCCTCTTAGGATTTTGAGCACATATGCACACATGCCCAGCATGACTTTCAAGTCGTCAGGTCAGGACTTGAACCACGGTCGACCACATGAGAATCTAGCCACATAACCATTACTCCATATGCTGGTCCTGAGAGCAAAATTTCTTAGTCTGAAACTTAAATCCTTTCACAATTTCATGAAATCAACTTTAAATATACTATGTGAACCCTACTCCAGTTAAACTGGGATTATTGGAAGCCTTCATCCTTATGTGTGTCCATCTCTTTTCTCCTTTTTAAGATGTTTCTCTTACACCACTGTAACTCCTCTCTTGCCATCTGTCAAAATCCTACCTACCATTTGTAGGGAGAGGCTATTTTGAGCGAACATGTGACCTTTAGACACATACAGAAATGGGCTTTTATGGGCAGTTTAATTTGTAAAGATGTGAATGCTATTGACATGTGAATGTGCTAGCTGTCTATGTCTGAAACTGCAGAGCAGTATTGGTTTAAAGGAAGTAACATATGTTAATCAGAAATGGCCCCAAGTAGATTAGAAAAAACTTACATAGAACTACATGGTGCCAGGTGTCTTTGTATATTTAGTCAATTAACATCTAAAAATAACTGGCTTTACATTCTACTTTTTTCCCCTAATTTTTTGCTCTAAACAAAACAAAACAAAACAACAACAACAAAAAACTTGCACACAATTTGGGACCATGGCTATTTCCAGAGAAGTCTGGACCACCTGATTTCCATTTTTTTAATACTTGTATGCCATTGTTTGTCTAGTTTTATATGTATTCTCTAATCTATAGACCCTCTCCCCTACTCAGGCACACATTCGTTTAGCAACCCTTCAAAGCCTCAGGAAAATTCTCACTCTTTCAGTAACTATTAAAGTGGGAAATGAACTCTCTTTTCTCTGAGTTCTTACCAGCTTTGTCTCTAGCACTTACTGACTGGCTTTCTTTTTCTGTTTGGTTTTCATGTGTATGGTGTGTGTGTGCATATACGTATGTGTATAAATTTCATTGCAATCAGGAACCTTTTCTTCTTATCTTTTGCATAGTGAGTCATGGGTAAATTAAAGTTGACCTTTTCATTTTGTCATATTATTTAGTCCATAAATAATTTGATGGATGGCTTTATCTCTTAGGTCAAATTATTGGGTCATTGGAAAAGTCATGATCCATTTTTCTGTTTTTCTATGCAAAAATGTGTTATCACTTTTCCAAAAAGCCAATATTATTATCTAAGCTCTGACATATATTATCAACCCTAGAGAAGGATACTATTCCTATCCCATTGTATCAGTGTGGAAGTTGAGCCCTTGAGACTCTTGCATCTTGCCCAAAGTTGCAAATGGTAGAGCAAAGATACGGGTTCAGATGATTTAATTCCAGAGCCAGATCTCGAAGTCATCTATAGATACTCTCTTTTCTACCTAGACCGTTACATCTATTTGAAAATTCATCCACATAGATTCAGAAAGCAAAGATGGCTTTTCATCTCCTATTCTAAAATGATATTAAAGAAAAAGTCATGTTATTTAATATGCCAAAGAATGCCTCCAAGTATTTTTTAGGAATGTGATGCTCTCTGCTTGGGTTCATTTCAAGAGAACTATTGTCAACTCAGATGATAGTTACAGACCTGGTGACAGGTAGTTGCTCATTCCTGTGTTTCATTTAATTTCTCTTTATTAATTTTCCTTTCTACATAATATTTTAGATATTTCTGACATGAAGACTATTTTCAAAGTAGCCTCAGCAGCATGGAATTGTGCATCTTATTCCCTGAAATTTGTTTTAGCTCGTAAGAATTCTTGTGAAACAAAGCATAACTAAAAGCCAAACTTAAAATTATATAACACATGTGAGATAAGGTGGGGGGGGGTTGGAAAATAGGACATGTGTAACAGAAGACCTCCAGTTCATTCCTAAGATTGGCCTATTATGAGTTCTGCTTTTCTCAAAGAGAACTTGGGGTTCTCCTGAAGAGTTATTGTTTATTCATAAACAACAACTTGGCTTTCTAGAGCTTCTAGACGTCTGTTAGTTGTTAAAATACATAGAAGAAGAGGCATGGGAATTATAGTGAGAACATGTGAAGGTATAGGATTTCTATTTAATAGAAGCCATCGAACCCAACAAAAACTGCGCATCAGGATAACTTTACAGAGGACACCCAAGAGACAACAATGCCAAGATTAGTACTTCCAGGCAAGAAAATGGTCTTTCAAACCACTTTTCTAAGTCAGTGTTATCACATCCACTGGGTTGCTATAATACTGCCAAATACAACAATAAACTGAAGGAACCTTGAACTACGTATAACTGGTCTGTGTGTGTGTGTGTGTGTGCACACACACATGCACAGTGTGTATTGGGGAAGAAAATTATTTTTACATTGGAGTTATTTTTTTCCTTTTTTGATGAGCAGATTTTAGTGTTAATAAAGTGTCAGTGTCCAGGAAATCTCTGCTTCTATCCCCTGTAGGGAGCATATGGACATCATAACTTTGACACTTAGAATGCTGAATGAGCGATTTGATTCTCACCTGAACTTTGGGATTTTGCCTGAGGCACCATTGCTCCTTGCACTCAGGCTTACAGCCTAAACAGACCAAAAACCAGCAGAGGGTAAACACACACTCACACACACACGTACACACTAGCAAAAAGTATGTAAATTTGGCATAGAGTTCGTTACATAGGTATTTGTGCACTAGCAAAATATGCTGAATGCCTGCTCTGTGCCAGGATACCGTGGGTATACACACACGAGAACCTGCCAGAAGTAAGGGTAATGCTTAGTGAAATGCTCTGCTTGGTCGGTTAAAGGAGGTCAGGGAGAGATCAGAGGTCAAGAGTAGGATTAACTAGGTTTTCCAGGTCACCAAGTTGGAGGGAAGGCCCAGAAAGGAGGTGTTCAAAGTAAAGAGAACAGTATGCACAAGGGCACAGGGGCATAGACCCACATGAATCGTGTCTGGAAATGCAGGTAACTCACTGTGACTGAGGCACAGGGGAGAGTTGGTGAGTGGTGGGAGATGTTAAGGAGAAAAGGGAAGGCCAAATTTGAGGCAGGCATTCCTTCATTTTTAAAGAGTTTGAACTTCAGAAGTCATCCTAGGGACCAGCAGTTAGCACAATGGCTATGTTGCTGGACTCCCATGTAGTCTACTGCTGTTCGAGTCCTGGACCCGGTGGCTTAAACTTTCACCGGGCATGTGTGCATGTGTGCCCAAGATTCTGAGAGGAGAATGGAGGAGAAGGAATTGCGGTGTGGCCATCCCCCCTTGGGGGGTGATTTCTCGCTTTCTGTCTCTCTGTCTCTCTCTGTCTTTCTGGCGAGCACAGGCGCCCTAGAAAAAACATCTCAAAAAAAAAAAAAAAAAAAAAAAAAAAAAAAAAAAAAAAAAAAAAGAAGTCATCCTACATAGACAAAGTTAAATGACTATAAATTCTTTTCTCCTTTCAAAAACACATTCTATTTTTGTATTCCTTGCCTCTTCTTTGAGCTATTATATATTTTCTTTTTTAAAGTTTATTCATTTTTCCCATTGGTGGTGGGGTGCTTCTTTGAACAGGATCTTCTCTGGCCCACCCCAAACCTCAGTCAGTCAGATCACAGGCACATGTGGGGAGACCTTTGGAAGCGAACCCAGGCTTCCTCCATGGCCTCAGCTGCGCAATCATTGTGTTACCCATGGACCACAGTGGCTGACTTCTTCCTTCTTGTTTTACTCCCTCTTGTCCAAGTCCAGAAAAGGTCTTCTGCTCTAACTTTGGCCCACTTGGGTGGCTCCTTGTATCCCCCATTCTCATGCTTTTATCTGTACCACCTGTCTGGTGCTCCATGACCCAATGCCTTGGGAAATGACAGGAGTCAACTAATGAAAGCTAAAATGCAGGTGCCAGAAGATAGTGTAATGGTTATTTCACTGGACTCCCACATGGCTGACTGTAGTTTGAGTCCTGGACTTGGCAGCTTGAAACTCAAACTAGGTACATGTGCGTGTGTGCCCAAAATCCTGAAAGGAGAATAGAGGAGAAGGGATTGTGGCATGGCCAGCTCCCTGAGGGGTGATTTCTTGCTTTCTGGCTCTCTGTCTCTCCGGCAAGCGTACACACCCTATAGCAGAAATCTCTTTCTCTCTAAAATTAAGAACAGCTAAAATGTTAGCAAGAACAAAAAAGAAAAGATTTGATTTCAAATGAGTCATGGAGAAAATATGGACTTGACCTATGGAAAAGACCATCGTCTTCAACGTGAGAACCAACTTTAACCTTCCTGCCAACACAGATTCCTTTTTCCAATGCCCATTTTCCCCTGTAATGAATTGTTTTCTCTTTTAGCTCCTAAGAATTAGTAGCACTTATAGAATTATGTATGACTCATTAAGTTCTACACAGTGAAGCTCACATTTGAAGGCACTGCCAGAAAATCTTGCCTTTAGGGAAACAAGTAACTGAGCTGTCAGAACGTCAACAGTTACCTAATTGCGCTGGGAAATACAAGGACTTCATGGCAGTTAGGCTACTGAGGAAAGACTTGGTTTGCCCCGGCTTTCAGCAGTGCTGACTTCCTCCTATAGTGGGAGAAACTGCCAGTAAGGGAAGAAGGACAATTTACATACCATAGCAAAGCTAATCTGCCCCAGGTCTTAGTCATAGCAGGCGTGCTTGAGACATCCTGGGAAATCCCTCTTTGGAAGAGAAGAAAAGTTCAAATCACACTTGCCGTCCTAACCTTATTCTGCGTAATTCCCATCCAGAGACACTTCTGTTCGCTTTTCATGAGAACTTATTGCTGTTATTTTCTATCATGAGCTAACTGCAGTGTGGCATTTTCTAAATTTTATATATTTGATCTCACCGTAAGAGACACCATAAGAGATTTTGTTTTGTTTTTCTTCTTGCTTCTCAAGACTCCAGGAAAAACAGCTTCCGTGCCATCCTTTGCCCAGGGCTTATCTAGAATGAGTGCTGCAGAAAGTTCTACAGAGCATACAGAGGTAAGACTGCATTTCTAGCAGATGCCTTGAGGGCATTTCACATTGATCCTATTTCTAGCAATAAACTGTGGAGTAATTGATGAGAGTGAAAGAAGCCAGGTGCTTTTTTGCTCAAACTTTGCTCTGTATTTTGAACCGATGTTATTTAACATGGAAACAGCTTCTGAGAGACTGTTGCATTGTCTTTGACCTCACTGGGCTATGTTTCTTCTTTTAGGAAATGAGAGGATTCAATCTGGCCCAAATCCAGTTAGCAACCCAATTCTCTAAGTTCCATAGTTTGCTCTGGATTTAGATGAATGAGTGTGGTTCATTGTGAAAAATCTAAAAAGAACACCACATTGGTGTGATTAACAATACGATATATAGTAACAAGTATCCGTTGGAAAATATTTATATGTTCACAAGTGATACCAAAGTTTTTGTCCAGTTACTACGATAGATGACTTACTAATTGAATGAATAAATAAGTGAAAGTACTTGTTTGTTTGTTTGTTTTTAGAGATAAGCAAGGTCTAATGAGAAACTAAGTGGAACTCTTGTTCCTTTAGGTATTTCACTTAATAGTGTTAGACTTTGAATGTTCTAGAAGTGCATGTGGTATTATTGGCAGAGAAAGAAATGGTGATACTTTGAACACAGATTACACTTTTCAGGGAATAATTATAGGGAATTATTTATAGGGAATAATGTTCTGTAAGCAGCTTTTTAGCAGAACCAATGACTAATTGCGATATCTGGTGTCTTCATTAGCACCTGGAAAGCAAAGCAAATGCAAATGAAAGTTCCCCTCAAATCTTTATCCTGAATGATTTTGCTTCATTCGAGTACATATCTGTGATACAAGAACCAGCGTATAATGCGATTAATTTCCATTGGAACCCCTGGTGACACATTTATGGTATCCAACTGTTCCTCACTGAGCTACCTTTCCCTGTCTCCTTCCTTCCCAACTTGTAACTAATACTCTGAATTTCAGAAATGAATACTGCTTCATTACAAACAGATTCTTTGGCAGATGTAGTAGCAAGCTTTTGAGCAATTCTTACTATAGAAGAAAAATCAAGAGTCAAAATATGTTTACAGTTTTCTTCCAGAGAAAGTTATTTCCAGAGGTTGGGAGAAAACACACAATACACACTTACTGTTCGACCTCTGGATTCTCAGAAGGCAAGGGGATGCAGTGTTTTCTGATCACAAACGTTTGTGTACATCACAAATAGAAGACTTTTTGGAGGACCCCAGATTCATTTTTCAAAGCTTGGTCTAGAAATGAGAGGATCTTAAACTTTGATAGGAATTATGATAATCACATCCACGTGGTTGACCATGGTTTGAGTCCCAGACCTGACAGCTTGAGGCTCACATCAGGCATGTGTGTGTGCATGCCCAAAATCCTGAGAGAAGAATGAAGGAGAAGGGATTGCAACATGGCCATCCTTCTTAGGGGCTGATTTCTCACTATCTCTCTCTGGCAAGTGCATGTGCCTTATAGGAGGAAAAAAATCCTCTCTTAAATAAATAAATAAATGTGCCCTGACTTCCCTTTTAGAAATTCTAATCTATATTTTAGAATGCATGTAAATATGGGGGGAGGGGGAACGAATATGGACGGTATACCATAGCAAAGTAAAAAAAATATGGATAATTTGGGACCAGCAGTTGTCAATGGCTATGTCACTGGACTCCCATGTAATCGACCGTGGTACAAGCCCCAGACTCGGTGGCTTGAACTCGTGCTTGGCACGTGTGTGTGCGTGCCCAAGATCCTGAGAGGAGAATGGAAGAGAAGGGATTGCAGCATGGCCACCACCACCACCGCCCCCCGCCGGGGGTGATTTCTCACTTTCTATCTCACTGTCTCTCTGTCTTTCTGGCAAGTACACTCAACCTATAGCAAAAACTTCTCAAAGAAAAAAATAAAAATGGACAATTTAATACATATTTTAAAAAACCAAACTGGTGAACCATTATCAAATGTGCACAACATAATGTAATATTCAATGTTAAAGAAGATGAATGTGTGTGTCTCCTTGATTTGATTATTACACACTATATGCAAGCTTTAAGAAACCTCATTGTACCCCACAAAGATATATATTAAATAAATATTTAAACCAGAAATCACATTTAAAAATAAGTTAACAAAGCCCTTTCAGAAATTCTGATCCATTGTTCAGGGTGTTCTATGTTTAGCAAGGTCAGTGAGGACTTCAACGTGCCTTTGTGGTGAGAAACATAGGTCTAGAATTCAATCTTATTGAGCCTCTGCTTCGCTGAGCTCAGGACACTAAGTAGGGTTAACTCACAGAACCTTCCAGATCAAAGGTGTTTAATGTTTAGTCTGTTCTAGCACAGAATGGGTCCAGTTTCTTAGAAGTCTTCCCAAAAGAGAAGGTCCAATTACGGAGCCCAACATACTTGTCACCTGGGTTTTGATGTCAGACTTGGTGTTCATCCAAGTCAGCTCTTGAGGTCAAAAGCAAGCATAATCATGCTTCATTTAGTGACCCATGGAAGGCCATCGCTTTTGAAACGTGGTCTTAGTTATAACACCTGTTTGAGGAAGAAGTTGAAGAAAGGCACAACAGCAGTTAGACAGATGTCAAATATTATCAAATCTTAAAATGGTAAAACATAAGTCAACAAAGGAAAGATGGGATACTACAGTTTCCTACGTCACTTCTAATGGGAAAAATCCTGGAAATCCCATGATGATTACAAAAGAGTTATTTCCTGTAAACTTTTCTGGTGAAGACCAACATGTTTTGAAAACATTTAATTGTTTATGAATATCTTTAAGCAATTTTGTGATCTACAGAAACTATTGAGCCTGAAACTGAAGGCAGATTGAGGGAAGACCCTCATCACCCAGTTCACTGTATTACTCACATGATTCAGGAAGGAGAGGGCGATAAGACTATTAAATTAAATTACAACAGAGAAAGCAGTCCTTTACTTAACTGAGTTGTGCTGGGGGTCGATTTCAGCAGATGGCATGCAGTTTCCAGAGTTTTTGTGCTTTCTTTAAAACACTTTCATCCATGAAAAAAATAAGCAACTGGGTAGAAAAGTGGTTCACTTTTCATTATGCCAATAATGTATTATTAATCTAAACTTGCAATCAAGAGAGGTTTTAGCCAAAGAACTGGTTTAAATTATACAGAACCAGATAATATATGCCCACTTTCCTAATATACATGTGTCATTTTCATTGAGCTAGTTAACTCATGGTAGGTTTAGAATTGCCTGGTGTATTTGAGCTGTTTGTATTGGTGTTTTTCTATGATAGTTATATATGCCCTCTGACTTTTGCTAGGGCCACTCTTTAAAATCTTAATGGCATCTGAGTTACTGGGCTCTGATACAAAATATGACTTTATAAAAATATTCACTTGTAATACTTAACACACATCCATGAAATATACCTGATTTCTCTAAGCCAGTATCCTCTGACTTGTCATTTTTGGAGAAACCGTTTGAAATTCAAATTCATAAAATTCTTATTTCTGATTGCTTCATTATTTCCACACCCATTTATAGTTCACGAGAGGATTATTTGGTACCTAATTCATATTTAGGATCGTAAACTATAAAATAAAATATTACAATATAAACTGATTCGTGGGTGAGTCAGTGGCATGGCGGTTAAGGCAGCTGGATCCCGCATGGCAGGCTGTGCAGTTTGTCCTGGCCCTGGTGGCTTGAAAAACAGGCTAGTGCATGGGTGTCTGTGCCCAAAATCTTTAGAGAAATGGAGGAGAAAGGATTGCAGTGTGACCATGCTCCATGATGGGTATGTTCACACCTTTCTCTCTCTCTCTTTCTCTGTGGAGTACATGTGCCCTCTGGCAAGAATTTAAATAAATAAACATATGTGTGTATTAAAAAAAAATCAACGACAACAAATTGATTCACCAACAAGTCATTATGAAGGAATTACTATAATTATGTAGTTTTTTTTTTTTTTCTTTTTGGAGAGGTTTTCCCTATAGGGCGCGTGCGCTCGCCAGACAGACAGAGACATAGAGACAGAAAGCGAGAAATCACCCCCCAGGGGGGATGGTCATGCCGCAATCCTTTCTCCTCCATTCTCCTCTCGGGATCTTGGGCACGCACGCACACACGCCCGGCGTGAGATTTAAGCCACCGGGTCCGGGACACGAACCGCGGTCGACTACGTGGGAGTCCAGCGACATAGCCATTACGCTAACTGCTGGTTCCCTATAATTATGTAGTTTTACAAACCACAATACATATGTTGGTCAAAGGCATGGATTTTTTATTTTTAAGAGAAATTTTTGCTGTAGGGTGCGTGTGCTCGCTGGAGAGACAGAGAAACAGAAAGTAAGAAATCACTCCCCTGGGGGATCACCACACGGGAATCCCTTCTCCTCCATTCTCCTCTCAAAACTTGGGGCATGCATCCACATGCACCTGGTGTTGAGTTTGAAGCTGCTGGGTCCGGGACTCAAAGTGCTGTTGACTACATGGGAGTCCAGTGACGTAATCATTGTACCATTTGCTGGTCCCAAGGCATGGGCTTTGTGAAGGACAGTAGTTTTCCTGTTTGCTTATTTTGTAGACCGTTTTACGTCAATCTTTTTTCTTCTCTTTTGTAAAGTGTCCTCAATCGTTAAGAAGAAAGAACTTGACACATTCTCTTGAACAAAAGATAAGGTGTTTGGAAAAACAGAGAAAAGAGGTAATTTAAAACATTAGCTGGAACCCATGTGCCTTGGATTAATGCTGAGAATGAAACAGCCTGTTATTTGTTATCAGCTCACAATATTTACCGTCAGGAGACCGACCCGTACTACTCTGAGAGCAAATGCATATCTCATACTTGGTCTCTCTGTGCTAGGGCAGCAAGAAATGAAAAAGGACGAAGTCATAAATCTAGTTTTTATAAAGCTAATTTTCTCAGGACATAGAAGTTCCCTCTACCTGGACTGTGAGCTCATCACATGTCCTTGATGGCTTGTCACTTGACTTACCTTGAAGGTACAAGTGCCAGAGTCTTTAAGTACAGCTGACGCGGGTCCTACAACTTCATGAACCATACATCCAAATGCACAGGGCTCAGGGGCATTCTGGTTAAAAATTTTGCTTCTAGAATGTTATTAGGTATGCATGGATATGATCTGGAGTCTGATTTTCTGAATTTAATGCATGTTAGGATCCTCTTTAATCTTGATGGAGGAAGGGGTGAAAAGAAAACAATGTTATCACTCTCTCTATATTGTCAGTTTTGTAATTTTTGTATTACATCTTTCATGTCCTCTTCCAAAGTGCCTTTCACTCCTCTTTGACTCTGCATAATGTGATACTGGAAAATTACTCAACTATAGCAGAGTATGATTACCATGGCATAGAATGTTAATCCTTAAAATGCCAATAGATCAGGTGTTTTTATATAAATATAACATATAATTATATGAAATAATCATATCTATTTTAGCAGAAGAGTTATCTAGTAACTACTGCTCTGAATTAGTGTTTTCTTTTTTAATTAGGAAGAAGTTTTGCTATTTTTTTTATTACTGTGACTAACTTCTCAGTGTCCAGCCCATATTGATAAATCTTAGGATTTCTATTAATGTAGGAAACTTCAAACTTCCGCTAAAGTACAACAAAGTACAAATCAAAGTGTTTTTTTCTTCTTTCTAATAAATACATGTTTTAAAAATATTTAAATTGTTTGCAGCCTAAAATATTTCTAAATATTATATTAGAACTATTATTTCTTGAAAATCTATACTTTCAAATAGATGATGTTAACCAGTCATTAAGTATATATTAGAAATCGTGTTAATCTTATAAAGGATATTATTGGGAGTAAATGATTATCACTTAATGAAACATCAAATTTCTCAATGTAAAGTCTGCTTAGTGTAAAGGCTGGAAAGAATATTTTATTAAAAATAATCTGTAAAAGCACACAGAAAAATATGGAAAGGTTTGGAAAAAGACTCTATAAATTAATCATTCCTATAGAAAACCATTAATACTTACACATTTTCCCCAGATTTTGGTTGGACTGAACAAAGATGGAAATTCAAATAACTAAGAAAAGTTAAAAGTTGCTGATAAGATGTTCAGCTGACTTATCAAGATATAACTAGGACTTCACCCAGCCTGTTGGCATATCTGGTGGCCATCTGACCCACAGAGCATGGTCATCTCAGAGTTCGAATCCTTGGGTTAGCCTGAAAACACACTAGGCATGTGCATGTGTCCCTAGGATCCCGAGAAGTTTAAAGGACTATGAAAAGTGGATCGTGGGGTGTTAAGACCCTGTTGGGGGTACTTTCTTCTTCGTCTTTCATGTGTACATATGTACTCTCTATCATGAATAAAACACAAAAAAGATATACCTAAGGCCTGATTTTTCCAGATGTGAACCAGTTTTTACGGTGAGAGTGTGTCCACTAAAATTATCCCAACTCAACAGAACTTGGTAGAAGGGCTGTTGCCTTCACCCATATTTCAAAATCTCAGTAACCTCAAATAAAAGTAATTTCATTTTAGCCAAATTTCCAAAAAGGGCAGAAATCCTTTGTTGATTCACCACATTTTCATGATTTCAGCTCCTGGAAGTTAACCAGCAATGGGATCAGCAATTTAGAAGTATGAAAGTATTATATGAAAGAAAGGTAAACACCTCTCTCTGTTTTGCTCTTTTCTTTAAACCGATAATCTTGGAGGAGTCCAGGCTATAAAGACTCTGGTTGATTTCAGCCACAAAGAGATTTGTGTATAACCAACTGTTGAGAAAATGCGGCAGTGGTGGCAAGAGGTGCTGAGTGTGTTATTGGCCTCTTGGTACTAAAGATGAGTGAATGGTGTCGATGAATTGTCTTGGCATGATCAAAAGATGCTAAGAATAGCCTCAGCGAAGTCCCCAGGGTTCTTATATACATTTATCGCGTCTACAGAGTCTCGTGGAGTCAGCTTTCTCACCAGCAGCAATAAATAGACATGGCACATGTGAGGTCAGGGACGGTTTAAAGTCCACGCTGTGTATACAAGACTAGCTCTGCAGTTCCTTAACCAGGTAGCATAAGCTATTTTCCGCAGATAAAGAAACAAAGTGGAAATAGCGAGGTATGAGAGGACGTAGGTCATGCCCCTCTTCTCTCTAAAGCTCATGCTCCATCAGAAAGTTTTGGCTTTGGAGGGACCAGCAGTTAGTATAATGGCTATGTCGCTGGACTCCCATGTAGTCAACTGTGGTTTGAGTCCTGGACTCAGTGGCTTAAACTCATGCTGGGCGCATGTGCATGCGTGTCCAAGATCCCAAGAAAAGAATGGAGGAGAAGGGATTGCAGCGTGGCCATCCCCCCTGGGGGGTCATTTCTTGCTTTCTGTTTCTCTGTCTCTCTCTTTCTAGTGAATGCATGCGTCCTATAACAAAGCAAAAAAGAAAAAAAAAAAACAAGCTTTGACTTTGGTGAGAAAGGGACTTTTTGGAGAACATCTCCATTGACAGATAAAGTCAATTCATAATGTAAAATCACTGTATCTTTAAAAAGAGAGAAAAGAGAAAGTAAGTTCCCCTAAATAATTCAGAATTAAGGAACTTGAGCACAGTGAGCAATACGGCTGCATTATTCTTCTCTTCCCTATTTGGATACTAAGAAGTATTAAATTTAGAAGGTGTGGGTTGATGTTTCTACTACACCAGGCGGTGGTTAGGCAGCCTCGCACTTACCCATTTGGGGGAAAGTTTGGATCTCCAGATTGCAAAGACCACGATCCCAGGGGAAGGGGAAGCAACTTGCTGGTGGGTGAAGATGTGGCCTGGAAAAAGGGTCTAATTCCTATTGCATTTGGAAGAAGCGCCCACCTCTACAGTTCTCTCGCTTCGTCGGTCACTCGGAGGTCGAATTTGGCATTAAGTTGAAGGTTAAGCTCCAGAATACTTATAAATTCAAGGCCATCATCTGTTTTTCTCTGACACTGGCTTATTCTATCTCCTCCTTGACCTAGAATGCCCTTTCCAGGTCAGGTCAGACATATCCTGAGAGCCAGAACTGTCACAAACCTAGGGACCACTGTCTGTGTTCTAAGTCCCCATTCACTCTGCGGTGGGGGTGCTTAGGAGTAAGGAGGTGGGCTGGAGGCTGCTCTGGGGTAAGATGCATGCTTTTTCTGGCCGACCAAGCTCCTTTTTAGGTGCAAGTATCCTGATTCACGTTAGAGGCAAGAGCAGTGGAACCTCTCCTTAGGGCACATCTCAGACTGGCCACATCTGTCCCCCAGTGCATAGGTTAGGAATAAATGCACGGGTGCCTGGGCTTCAGGAGAGGTGTCTGCAACCGTCTGTGAACAATTTCCTCAGGTCGCGGAGCTGAAAACGAAGCTGGACACGGCAGAACGACGCTTGAATACACTGGAGATGGAGCAACCGCAGAACCAGAGACACAGCGACAGGCAGCGTAGTCTGGCCGGGGACGCACGGCAACTGGAAGAGGTGGGCAGGGCCGGGGAGACGACCCCCACCCAAAGGATCTGAGTAAAATCAGGGGGTGGTTTCCAGTTGAAAACCTACCCTTGTATTAATACCAACTCACTGCTGAGCAATGAACCAGTGCGAGGGTGTGTGGTTGCACAAGTCCCCAAGAGCAATAAGAAGGATCACTTCTCTGGAATGAGAAGGAAGAGGATGCTCTGCTCACTTCCCCCCTGTAGATTGCACAAACAGGCCGCTGTGAACTGGCAGCCCCTGTCCGGAAAGAGAACTAAGACACAGATTTGCTGATATCTTTCTAAGACATTTCAGTCTACCAGAAAATTCACTTCTTTCCTTTGCTTTGACTAAAGTCTATCATTTTGATTTCCGGTGTTAATAATAACAGTTTGGCAATACCTCATATTTGCACAGTAGTTTTTCTGCTTACAGAGGGCTTTGCAAGAATTAATACTTTTGCAGCCATAAACACAGCATCTCTTAGAAAGCACTGCACTCTCATTATGTCACTTAACATTCCCAGGAATGTGAGGAAAACATGATTTTTGCTACGTTCATGGTAAGAGAGCCATGAGGTGGAGGCAGACAGCTTGCCGGCATCAGTAAACGAGTACGTGGCAAATGGGACTTAGCCCAGTCTAGACTCTGAGGCACCATCAGTCCTTGCTGAGAACTACATGGTGACAATTAAGATGACAATTTCTACTCAAACCTTTCCTCCCTTTAGGTTATCGGACTTCAGGGATATGATAGAAAATGGAAGGAAAAATGTACAAACATTTACAATCTGATTTTTTTAAGTAGAGTAAGAAGGAAGAAGAAATGTAACTATTCTCGGGTGAAGACTTATTACTGGTATTATAAGGCACTAGCAATATTTTAAAACATGCATAATTCTTCATTGTTTTATTATTGACTGATTGATTGATTGTCATAGGGCACATGCGTTTCACTGGAGAGAGGCAGAGAGAGGGAAAGTGAGAAATCACGCACCAAAGGAGATGACCATGCTGCAATCCCCTCTCCTCCATTCTTCTCTTGGGGTTTTGGGCGCACAGGCACATGTGCCCAGCGTGGTTTTTAAGCAGCTGGTTCTGGGCTCAAACCAGGTGGGAGTCCAGTGCCATAGCCACTCTACCACCTCTGGCCCCAAAATATTCACAAATTCTTAAGGCAATGCCTAAAATCAGTGCCGACAATGCCTGCCACTCCAGGTTTTCCCACCTTGCTAGGAATATCTTGGTCACCGTGAGTCAGAGGGAAGCAGGGATTAGCACTTCCTTTGCTTCCTACAGTAGTCATTTCCTCTTCAGTTACACCCTGACCAGGAACCTTAGGAATGTCTCCCTCTTACAGTTAGGGCCATTTCGTAGCCTATGTAATTTTTTCTTAAATTATTCCAGATTAGAAGATGATTGGTTTATTTTCTAAGGAGATAGGCCCATTCCATTTAAATAAAAGCAAACGGTAATATATTCACTTTTCAAAAAAATGAATTACCTAAGGTATGTCTTTTACATTTAATACTATATTTGTACTGGGAGATATTAATTGCTAAAACAACATACTTTGATACTGGTATTAGTTATGTTTTTCATCTCAACTTACCTATGCTCTTCAGTATTTATTTTACTAGGTCAAAATTGCAATCCCATTAAGATCGAACTTATGTACAAATTCACTATCAAATATGTAAGGTTCAGGGGTAGGAGATACAGTGTTTGAATCTACAGCCTGTTTGCGTCTAAGCTGCTAACTTCAACTTATTTAAAGCATAGACACCTTTATTTCTTCTTCGAGAGATGTTCGCTATAGGGTGCATACACTCACCTGAGAGACAGAGAGACAGAAAGTGAGAAATCATCTCCAACCCCTCCTCCCCCAGGAGAATGGCCACACTACAATCCCTTCTCCCCCAATCTCCTCTCAGGATTCTGGGCACACACACACACGCATCCAGGCATGAGTTTCAAGACATTGGGTCTGAGGTTCAAACTGAGGTTGACCATGTGGGAGTCCAGCACCTTAACCACTATGCCACCTGCTGGCCCCAAGCACCAGCTATCATTATTTTTTTGGAGAGGTTTTCATTGTAGGGCACGTGTGCTCACCAGACAGACAGAGAGAGACATAGAGACAGAAAGTGAGAAATCCCCCCCCAGGGGGGATGGTCACACCACAATCCCTTCTCCTCCATTATCCTCTTGGGATCTTGGGCACACACACACACGCATCCAGGCATGAGTTTCAAGACATTGGGTCTGAGGTTCAAACTGAGGTTGACCATGTGGGAGTCCAGCACCTTAACCACTATGCCACCTGCTGGCCCCCAGCACCAGCTATCTTGATGGTGAACTAAAACATGGAGGAATGACGTCAGTGGGACTAGCCAATCGCTACCTTTACAAAGTAATAACCCAGGGGGCTAGAAGTTGGCACACAGGTAGAGTGTGAGGCTCTGTGAGGCTGACCCACTTAGAAAGGGCGCAGGTTCACCAGAGAGCTTCCTGAGTACGCCAGGCACTTGCATGCCCATTTGCGACCAGCCGAGGGTGGAGGTGAGTCATGGCATCAGGTCACTATTGAGAGTGCCTCTTTCCCCCTCTTACTTGTTCATGGAAGAAAGAAAGAAACTTTTTTTGTTGTTTAAAAAGATTTTTGCCGTGGGGCCATGTGCTTCCTGGAGCGAGAGATAGAGGGGGAAGAGAGAGAAAGTGAGAAGTTACCCCCCGGGGGGGATGGCTATGCCACAATCCCTTCTCTTTCATTCTCCTCCTGGGATTTGGGGTATGCATGCACACATGCCCAGTGTGATTTTTCAAGCCTCCAGGTCCTAGACTCAAACTGCAATTGGCCATGTAGGAGTCCAGTGCCTTAACCACTATGCCACTTGCTGGTTCATTTTTTAAAAATAAAAATAGCCCAGCGATATGGTGCTCTGATGAATTATCTGAAGTATAAAGCATCTTATTTGTCTAAAATGTATTCTCTTTTGGGCTTTGAGATATCTAGGATTGTTTTGTTGCCATGAGACTTTTTTTTTTCTTTTTAGGCTTTTGAGTTACCTTTACTGTTCTGTTTTTCATAACCTAGCGGCAGCAATTGGGAACTAGCTTATTCTCCAGACCCATTTATTTGGCCATTGCATGTGAGGATTTGGGGTTTTGATATCTTTTCCCGGGATTTTCTAAGAATTAGCACTGAAGCTCGGTACAAGAAAGATTTCTTCCATCCTAACCCTGTCCTTTACCCAAAGGAGATTGCTCAAAGGGAATGTGAAAGGGAAATCTTGCAGGTCCTGTTTTTATTACAGTTCAGAAGCATGACCCCTCTGCCATCAGCACCTCTTAGGTGAGGATTCCTACCCTATCACCGCATTGCACTTCTATTGGTTTTGACTTTATTTTCTTGCTCTTCATTTCAGAAGGAAAAGGAAAGCCTAAATGAAGAGTTGCATGAATTGAAGAAAGAGAATAGACTCTTGAAGGAAAAAAATGTTCTTGCAAGCAGAAAGAAGGAACATTATGAATGTGAAATAAAACGTCTCAATAAGGTACCAGGCCAGGCCAAACACAGGGGACCAGAATCAAGTCCCTACATAAAGAGCACATTCCTATTAAGAACAGCAACAAAATCCAGGGTGTAGGCCGAACCCTGGCCTCGGGGGCTAACCCAAGATGTTCTCTGTAATTTTGCAAATCACTCCTGTCTGCCACTGTCAGACATATTTGGCTAAGGAGACTTAAGGAAGCTCATGTCCTTGCAAAGAGTCATCATGCAAAAGAGAAATGAGGAGAAATTATAGAAGACAGTAGCATTTTTTTTTTTTTTTTTTTTACTTTTTGGACCTTCCTTCAGCTCGTAGAACCACACAAAGTGAGTGGGTGTTTGTGAACAATAACGTATCTCTTGGTCAACCACAAAAGCTTCCTGAGGAAACAAGCTGCTCTTTACAGTGATCACTGTGAAGCTGGGGGGTGATACATTTGTAGATGGCTGCCCTCCTGAGAACAGGGTAAAACCCACCTTTCATGGGGGTGGACGAAGCAAAAAAGGGCCTTTAGGAAAATACAAGCACTTTTTTTGCAGCTCTAGGGCACGTGTACTCACTGGGGCCGGAGGAGAAAGTGAGAAATCACCCCCATGAGAAATGACCATGCCGCATTCCCTTCTTCTCTATTCTCCTCTTGGGATTTTGGGCAAGCACGCACATGGACCCAGTGTATTTTTCAATACTCTGGGTCCAGGACTCAAACCACGTAGTCAGTCATGTGGGAAACAGCTGCCTTAACCTCTGTGCTACCTGCTAGCCTGTAAGGCCTTTGTTCCAACTTAGCTCTTCAAAGGGGATTGCTATAAAAGGATGACATTTGTGTCTGTGTGTGTGTGTGTGTGTGTGTGTGTTGTTGTTGTTGTTGTTATTGTTCCATAAAATCTAGAGTACATGTGGACTCATCAGAGACAGAGACAAGAGGGAGAGGGAGAAAGCGCCTCCAGTGGAGAACGGCCATGCCACAATTCATTCTCCCCATTTATTTTTCTGTCTTGTCAGGATTGGGGGCACACACACATGCACCCAGCATATTTCGCAAGCCACCAAGGCTGGGAGTTTGAACCACATGGTCAGCCATGTGGATTTCCTGCTCCTTCTCCTTTTTTCTCTCTCTCACGCATGCACATGTCTGGCATAATAACTGTAATGATAACAGATATTGAATAATATGCATCAGCACTGAGAAAACACAGAGATTCTGAAAAAAAAAATATGCTTACGTAGAAAATCAGAAAGAAGAGCTATTCGGTCATGTAAGCAAACTAAAAGGTGAAGTTCTACCTTGTGGGTGCATTCAAGACCATCATAGCAATTACTGAGGAATTTGTAGGATGCAGTAAACTAAATTTTAGATCAATTATAGTGTGCTTGTGTTTTAACATAGGCTCTTCAGGATGCATTGAAAATGGAATATTCTTCAGTGTCTGAGGACTGTTTGGGCAAGTGTGATGAGGAGATGAGAACAGAAATGGAGGTCCTCAAACAACAGGTGAGAAGAAGTGGCGTGACCTTGTGGAAATCCTAGGGCCCATTGTTCATGCTTCTTTGGACATTTTTGGATCTCTTGCTATTGAAAATATATGAAAGGCCTTTGCACTGATTTTAATTAGAATGATCTCATTTTAAAGGTTGACAGGAAAAGCACAAATCAGTTAGACCACTCCCATGCTCTATAAAAGAAGGCACAGAATTTCAGATGGGTTCAACAGCTTGCCCAAGCTCAGCCGGCTGAAAGAGGGACATGCCAATTAACCTCTGAGTGGGATTCTGTTAGCATTGGGTCTAGAGAGCTTCTTGGGAACCAGCAGTTAGTGTAATGGCTATGTCGCTGGACTCCCATGTAGATCCCGAGAGGAGAATGGAGGAGAAGGGATTGCGGCGTGACCATCCCCCCTGGGGGGTGATTTCTCGCTTTCTGTTTCTCTGTCTCTCCCTGTCTGTCTGGCGAGCACTCGTGCCCTATAGCGAGAACCTCTCAAAAAAAAAAAAAAATAGTAGAGAGCTTCTTATAGGCGTTACTTGTTTAAAAACACTATTGAATGGCAAAAACAAGCTGCTTTTCTACTCTTCTCTCACCACACAAACCATTTCTGTGACTTCACAATGTGTGGGGAGTTCTCCCCTCATGCAAGCGGGTGATCTAGTCTGCAGAGGAGGCCAGCTGGGAGTCCTAATTCAGTTCTGGCGCCGTGCCTGGGTGTAGCATCAGACCCAACAGGTTGATGACTCAGCTCCAGAAGACCACTGCTACTTCAGACATCAGTCCCAAATCCAGTTCTCCAGAATTTCTGACCTACTAACAGCGCAGGGGGGCTCCCAGGAACTCCTCCCCTTTTCAGGTTCTATTTGTTTGCAAGAGTGGCTCACTAGAAGCAGAGAAATGCTTACTTACAGTGACTCAGGCTGTTTCAAAAGGTACAGATGGGACCAGCAGTTAGTGTAATGGCTATGTCGCTGGACTCCCATGTAGTCAACCACTATTCGAGTCCCAGTCCCAGTAACTTAAACTCACACCAGGCACGTGTGTGTGCGTGCCCAAAGTCCAGAGAGGAGAATGGAGGAGAAGGGATTACGGAGTGGCCATCCCCCCTGGGGGGTGATTTCTCGCTTTCTGTCTCTCTCTGTCTTTCTGGTGAACGCACACGCCCTGTAGCAAAAACCTCTCCAAAAAAAAAGAAGGAAAAAAGAAAGAAAAAGAAAAAGGTACAGATGAGAAGATGCATAGGCAAGGAGGGGAAGAAAGCAGAGCTTATGGGCCTGCCCCCCCACCCCCAGAACCTCCCTGTGTTCAGCTCTCTGGATGCTCTCAGAACCCTGTCCTTGTGGGTTTTAGACTTCATTGCATAGGCATGAGATGCTAATAGACAAGGTGGGGAAACCCACAAGCCTGTCTGTTCAGATTCTTGGCCTCCTGGTGTACCAGTCCTTCCTGCTAGGGAGCAGCACCCCTCCAGAATAAGGGTCTTCTTTATTTACTACCAGAAAGGCTAGGGGTAGGGGGAATTAAATGTCTTTGTTTTTTTTTTTGGGGGGGGGTGTTTGTGGGGTTTTGGGTTTTTTTTTTTTTTGAAAGTTTTCTTGCTATAGGGTGTATGAGTTGGCCAGGAAGACAGAGAGAGAGAAAGTAAGAAATCACTCCCCAGGGGGTTGGCCATTCTGCAATCACTTCTCCTCTATTCTCCCCTCAGGATTTTGGACACCTGCGCACATGTGCCTGGTATGAGTTTCAAGCCATTGGGTACGGGACTTAAAATGCTGTTGGCCATGTGGCCATCTGGCATTTTAACTGCTATGCAACCTGCTGGTCCAGGGAGTTAAGATTTCTAAGATCCCCTTGAGTCTAGGTGCTCTGGCATGCCTTGGGGAGAAAAAAGATCGGGTAAAAGGAGAACAGAAGGCCTTTATCGCTCTGAAGCTGTTCCAAAGCCACTTCAGGAACCAAGGACAGAACGCCAAATACCTAAGAGTCAGGGACTATGGATAAGAACAAAAAGGGGACCAGCAGGTGGCATGGTGGTTAAGGCACTGGACACTCCCACATTGCCGACCACAGTTCAAGTCCCGAACCCAGCAGCTTGCTTTCTCACTTTCTCTCTCTTACTCTGTGTGGGTTTTGGGGGGGGGGGGGGGGCTAAATTTAAAAAAAGTGAATGAATAAGTAAAATCAAGTAAAACATTTTTTTTCTAAAAAAAGAACCAAAGCATACACATCTCATAATAATCACAAGTATTCACTCAAACTCTGAATCTTTTCAGAAAGTGAGAGCAGCCTGACTGTGATTTGATAGCTGCAGGTCTCAAGGCCTTCGAACAATCAGGGCCATTTTGTCTGTTGTTGTTAGAGAGATGTTTTTGCTGTAGGATATGTGTGCTTGCCGGAAACACAGAGAGAGAGAAAGTGAGAAATCACTCCCCAGGAGGCATGGCCACACCCCAACCTCACACACATACACATGCACATGCACCCAATGGAGTTTCAAGCTGCCAGGTTCAGGATTTAAACCGTAGTCAACCATGTGAGAGTTCAGCACCTTAATCACCAGCAATTTAACCAGTACGCCATCTGCTGGTTCAATAAATGCCATGTGAAGGGGAATACTTGGCACTGATTCTACTCACTGGAAAACCAGGTCTGCCCAGCTACCCCACACATGAATGGCACCCCAGACACTTTACCGATGCACACCTGATTCGTCCTTCCCACTCACCTGCCAAGTGCATAGCAGGGATAAGATGCACCCCACTGCTCCTGCTTCTCCCAGCAGTGTCGGGCTGTGGGGACAGAGCACTGCCTAGATTGCCATGTCTCATGGAGTTCATCCAGTCACAGTGTGCTTAGCCAAGGGGTCACCCATGCACATCACATCTCTTT